AGCACCAGGCAAAAGGGTGCCTATTACGTGGCCGTTTTCCCGTATTGTCCGATCGAGGCTACATAGGGAGAAGCGAAGGCTATTCACAGTCAGTTCTAGTGTGGCTACCGCAGAGTTGTACTGTGACAGTCGCCGAGTGTGTTACCAACAGTTCTCAAGGCAGCATATTGCGAGCAGAGTTGAAACATAGCAGCCTGCGAGTGTGCGATAACTGAGAAGTCGGCGAGCGGAAGACTTATTGTGTGCTTTCCAGACATAGTGATTGCTGTAGTACAGTTGTACTCGAAGTGTGTATTTCAGGGAGACTTGTATAGCTCCCGCGTTATTAATAAGTGAGGACAAGTGAAGACGGTGATAAGAGATTTTGTTGTAGGGTTTGTAAACTGTGGAAACCCGTGACATTGTGATAATTAGTTGTGGCCGTTATTTGTAGATTGTTCAATAAACCAGTTAACGATCTCTACGGCGTATTCAGTAACGTAAACACGTTACAATATATACATACACATACACACTCCATTGACCAATAAGAACAGGTATTGAGAGTGCAAAAGAATCTAACGTCACACTTCCTTTCTATTATTTATTGCCGTGGTTGAACTTTGTTTTTTGTGAACTAAAACTCTTTCGAGGGCTGTAAACACAGATCACATTTTCACTATAAATTTATTGTTATGATGGTTTACGAACCAGGTAAAGGTAAAGTTGTCCATGTGCTTAACTAATTAAGCACTGCGCCATGAAGGCGTATGGGGGAGTGGATGTATAGATCCACATTTTCGTGTACCTCGGCACTACCTGGAGGTAAGTGATCAGCTTCACGCCACTGCCGCTTTACCCTAGGGGAAAAAGCCCCCGGTACCGTTTGGATAGGAGGTTGAGTGGGGACGATATGGAGAAAAGAAAATTGTGACCGTACCGGGACTCGAACTCCGATCTTTCGGTCGTGCAGCCCGTAAGTCGCCATACTGACTGCGCTACGCCGGCTCACCGGGTCCGCGAATCGGAGTAAGAGAAACCAGAGAAAGCCGGACAGTCGAATAGATTTTACGTATAAAGTTCAAAGAGGTTTCGGGGTTGAAACTAAGTAATTAACTTCACGGTGCAGGGCTCTTCTAGAGATTCCAATAGCCGTTGAAATACTCAGAAAATTCCGTGCATTTTATAGAAGCCGAAGGCGCATTAACGCGATAAAAAGAATGCACTAAATTGCAAACAATTAAGAAACCGAACCGTAAAGAGATTTGGGAAGAAGTCTGATGATGGTTTCCTTTCATATGAACACCAATGAACTTAAATCCCAAGTTACATGAAGAAGGTGAGGTGGAGTCAGGAGCAGAGAGGCAATAGATTGAGCTTGCTAATGTAAAATCAATGCCACATTCTGAGAACACTAAAAAGGTTATTTTAAATAGTATACCCTTGCAACGACCGGATACCTTTAATGTACTATCCCGCTGAATCCCTCGGCTCATCCTGCTTTCATTTGCAAGAGATTTATGAACTAACTTGACGTTACGTTACATCAGTTCACGAAAATTACCAAGGCATTAACTTTGCTTGTTCTATGCGAACCCATGGAATTCTATAAGGGATACACTATCTCTCGATGCATGAAAGCTTGAGAGAAGAGAATTTGAACTTCTATTTCTGCTTTTCTAAAAGTCATCTGTCATTTTAAATGTGTGAGTGAGGGAAGAAACAAAACGGGTTCTGCTGATATAAGGAGAAACAGTCGTTTTTCTGAGGTACTGCGAATAAAAAGGAATAATTTCAAACTCACTGTTCCTAACATTCTACCAAACATTTTTTGTGGGGTGATTTTTTAACCGTAGTCAGATAATGACAAGGAAAGTTGCTTGAACCACAACACTGCAGATGAAAAATCATGTAGTTTTATTTTCTCCCTCTGAAAAAAAAAACTTCACCAGGACAATGTGTGTGAAGGTTTATCATATAAGAAAGACGATCACATATGATTAAAGAAAATTAATTTTAATATTTCAGCCTTGTGTTTGGTTACAGTTTCTATTATCATATTTTTACATTTTAATTCTTAAGTAAGTAAAAAGTAAAGCTAATTCCTGGTACTCATTTCTGTTAGAGGCTGAGTCGACCCCAAGGCCATAGTGCGACTGGAAGGATTAGTCAACTGAAAAAATCTAATGACCTCATCGGGATTTGAACCCGCGACCTTCCGGCTTGTAGCATAGTGCCTCAATTAATTATTAATATTGCTAAAATTGATATATTTAATAAATTAAGTCCCTAAAACTTTTAGCATATAAAGATCACGGATTCGATTCCCGATGAGATCATTGGATTTCTCAATTGACCTATTCCTTCCAGCCGCATTATGACCCTGGGATCGACTCGGCCTCTAATAGAAATGAGTACCAGGAATCTTCCTGGGTGCAAGGGGTGGCCGGCGTGTAAGGCTGACAACCTGACCGCCATCTGTGAGCCGATTGTCTAGAAAATGTGGGAGCCTCGACGTCTCACAACCTTAAGGGCCTTCACGGCCTATTACAGGGATAGCTTTACTTTTTGGGATGGTATGAAAATAATACTGGTAGTAATGATATTATTTTCTTCCAGAATACAAAGTTAACTCTTATTATTCTGAAAAAAAACTAAATAAGTGGATTATTTATAAGTTGAGAGTATTAGGAAATTCAAGTTCTTATTTTAGTGCCCTGTAATCTTTCAAATATTTTGAAATTGTTGGAGCTTGGATTCAATATCCACTCGTGACGTAGTGATATTCTGTTGTAATATATTTATAAACTTAAAGTTTAATAACACGATCCTGCCGATTGGAGTGACTTTGCAATCTATGCAGTGTATTGTCTACTCGACACGAGGAGAGTGGCTTCGATTCCAAGTCCAGGCACAGAGATATGTAATCGTACTACTATGTGTTTTCTTGTATAATTAGATGCCTTGCGATTAGCTATGTTACTGTCCAAGGAGTTCCACCGTACAGTTATGAGATTAATACAATGCGATTCTAAATTACTGTTGCAGATTCCGTGGCCTATAATTTTAAAATCTGAAAAACAGAATGAAACTGCCGATGGAATTTAAAGTATAAGTCAAAAAGTTTTATTTTACAACGCTGTACTCGCCGCATTGATGTCTGGGAGAAAGCATGACGTCATACGTGAAAAATGGCGACTCTTCAAGAGAAAGCATTGTGCGTACTTTGGTTATTTGGAACAAAGTCCGGTATCAAAACTCATCGTCCTTACAGAACTCATCGTGGAAAAAAATATCGTCTTCAGATAATGCACTCCGATATTGGTTAAAGCAAATGTCCGAGAATTTCCTGACATGCATTTCCCTGGGAGCTGGGTTGGGCGTGATGGACCAATTCCGTGGCCTCCACGCTCACCCGATATTATGCCGCGTGACTTCTTCCTGTGGGAATACGTTAAGGACATTGTTTACAAGACCCCTCTGACGTCACTCGATGAGCTGAAGCTCAGAATTGTTGCTGCGATCGAAAAAGTTACACTGCAAACGCTGGAGAAGCTTCGGAGGGTAACTGAATACCGCTTGGACACTGCGTGCCCCGAATGGCGCGGATATTGAAGTTGTTTAGCATTTTGCAGTATTGACTCTATAATGAATAAAACTTTTTGAGTTACATGTTTATATTCCGTTGCCTATTTTATTTTATTCTTTCCGAATTAAAAATTATAGGCCATGAAAATGCCCACAATAATTTAAAATCACGATGTGTTTTCAAAAGTTGAAACCGTAACAGGCAACAGGGCTGAAAAGTTTAAAGTAGTTCTTCCTCGTGGTTTATTTTATGCCTGGATCGGCATACCAAATGAAATAGTGTCGAGCTGTAGGACAGTCAGAAAGGACGTGGAAGAAACCAGGAGTGGCATAATCTACGTACTATCCTGGTATTTTTCTTGTAGGTGCTAATGAAACCCACAAAAGACTCCAGTCACTTTAACAGATATCCAGCCGAGATTCGAACCGAGAACGTTCCTAATACAAGTCGACAGTTAATGAAGAAGAAATCATTAAATTGTGAAAATAATACCGTATAACCTCGTGTAAGTTCTCAACAGGGGTGAGTGGAAGTTAGCGTTTCCATGGCGACAGTCTCCCTGCCACTAACCTCGGAAGGACGGCTTACAAGAGAGAAGCCGATTAGTTTACCTTGGCATCTAGCTTCTGCAGTTCTTTGCTCAGGTCTTCTTCAGGCTTGCCCTTGCCTCCGCCTGCCGCTACGGGTGCTTGTTTCCTCGCCATGTGGCCGCGGAAAGAAGCCTGTATCTTCGTAGCTGCGTGGCACAGTTCTGCCAAAACAAGAAAACAAATATCACCAGGTTGCTGTGGCCTTGTTCGAAGTTACGTGACACTTGCAACGCAGTTCAGATGTTAAGTGAAGAGGACACTTGACTACACTGATAGATATTAAATGACATACTATGTTGAAAACAGTGGTTGTCGCCTCATCACCGAAGTTAAGCAACATTCGAGTGGGTGACCGCTTGGGAAAACAACGTACTGTTGGGACTTCATTTTAAACTGGAAGCGCAATAGATCACTGTAGGTCGCGGTGCAGTGAGTTCAGTCCGCAACCTACAACTGCTGGGTGTGTTTGGTATCAATTCGCTTCATAGTCGGCCTCAAGCTATAAATTTTTTATTTTTTACTCTACTTTCCTTTTCCCTTCTCTTGAAAAAATTAAAGCAGTCTTATGCTATTTTCATGTCGTCTGTGTGTCCCAATTATTAACGTCTGAATCCCTGAACTAATTTTTATGAAACTTGGCATGTATGACACGGAACCTGAGTCCATCTCAACGGCATCATTCATAAATTCCTCACATCAATTTGTATCCGTATGTGTGTCCTCTCTACTTGTTAGGCAATGGCTCGGTAAAAAAGTTACCGCAGCAACAAATATACACGCAACAATAAAAGAACTGTTGGATGGGTCATCTTATGTGGCGTCCATATGGTAACAAAGGAAGTATGCAATTAGATCTTCCCACAAATTCTTGCATTATATCAGAGCAAAATGCCAGAAAACCTGTGCACTAGTTAGGAATATAAATGCTTTAGGAGGACTGAAGAAGCGGTAGGTGAGCTATCCACTAAAGAGCATGGAACGATTGAGTAGGGATAGGTAAATCAATTTTTCAATATTAAACTTTTGTAATATCTAGTAAATAATGTACTCGATACGTTGCTGACAGGTTCAATGATTGATGAAGTTGTGTGAAATGGGCAGTAGCTATTAGCCCCTAGAAGCATGAACTCATCTAAATAATGTTTATGAATGCAATTCCTACCTCACAGAAATACACAGCACCTTCCTTACAAAGAAAAAAAATATTAATTCCATTTAGGAAACTAATTGCTGCTTATTCTAGGAAAAGACACATTACGTGGTCAGATTGCAGAATATTTTAATAGTAACAATTTTGCTGTAAAGGATTTAGTAGAAGATGATCCCATATTTGAAACCTCCAACTCACAATTCACTCACATTTTACAGAAAAAATATATCACCCTCACCAAAGAAAGAAAACTGAAGTTGACCATTCGTGTCATATCCTTATAGTGAAAAATTTTATGAGGAAATATGGCACCAGATTTCATTAAAATTGTTCGTTATATTTTGGTCGTTGGTTACTTAATGACACTTTTATTATGGAGAGTACATGGCATCGGGTGATATACACGTATATTTACATAGACAACAGCAAAGTTTTTAAACGAATAATATCAGGTCTTATTTTTCTGTCTTTTTTTTTTCGTAAATCTCACTGGTAGAGACAAGCAGCAATATATAACGCTATGTAACGTCATGTAACGTGATAGCTTATTACCTTGTAGGATTGCTAGACCTTCTTCAAACCCCGAAGCTGGACTGTCACACACTATCAGTTAACTGCGAACGCTTATTTGCACTTACGCCCATGCCGAGAGGAAATGTCTCGAGTACTCAGACAGACGATTGTACATTATGCAGTAAATAACTTAAATATTATAATACGAAGGTCACGTACATATTTAATATTAATAATGACAATATAAATAACTGAGCGGAGTTTGTAATGGTGACAAATTGCGTTTTCTTTGATGCGCAAACTTCATTCTTAAATTTATTCCGATAAACGTAAGGTTTTAAAGAGTTGTAGAAAAATGGTTATGCGACTAAGGCTTTCAGATAACAATTGTCATCTCTCCATAGGAAAACAGCCAGGTCAAATGGGTCGAATTTATGGGTCAAGTAAGAACGCAGTGAATAGTTAACAAATTAAATACACTAAATGACACGCGTAGCCGGTCACGGTAACCGAGCGGTCTAAGGTATGAACTGTCTGCGCTCGCTCGGAACCCGGGATCGTGGGTTCGAATCCCGCATAAGGCATGGATGTTTGGTGTGTTTATGAGTTCATTTTGTTTGTGGTGTTTTATGTTTAGGTAGAGGCCTTGCGAGGGGCTGATCCCCCGTCCAAGGAGTCCTACCGAATGTCTAAGATCCAGTAAACCGAAGTGAAACGGACAGTTTCGTGGAGGTAGGCCAAGGCCAAAATTGGGGCTGTAGCGCCAAAGGGAAAAAAAAATGTTTAAGAGAGAAATGATGAGACTAGTCTGCAAAACAGAAGACTGTAGAGAATTCTAAGTAAGTAAGTAATTAAGTAATTATTACTTATATAATGGGAGCACACGGTAGAGCGGTTGGTTGGAGCACTATGCTACAAGGCGGAATGTCGCCGGTTCGAGTCCCGATGAGATTTTTTTTTTTTTTTGCAATTTACTTAATCCTTCCAGCCACACTGTTGTCCTGGGGTCGACTCTAACAGAAATGAGTACCAGGAACCTTCCTGGGGGTAAAGGGCGACCGGGGCGTAAGGCTGACAACCTTACCGCCATCTGTGAACCGATTGTCTAGAGAAAATGTGGGAACCTCGACGTCTCACTACCCTACGGGTCTCCATGGCCTGTTACAGGGATAGCTTTACCTCTTACTTAGATAAAAATCCAAATTCCCGCTTACTGACACACCTACAGAATTACATAACTAACAAACATAGCTCATTGGGCCGCGCCATAGCTCAAGCGGTTAGTCGCTGGCTTCCCACCGCGGCGGCCCGGGTTCGATCCCTGGTCTGGTCAAGTGGAATTTGTGGTGGACAAAGTGGCGTTGGGGCAGGGTTTTTCTGAGTACTTCGGTTTCCCCTGCCAATCTTCATTCCAGCAATTGCTCCACAATCACCCTCACCTATCATCTGGGGCTGGTCCAATAGGCCAGAAGTGGCCGCAGTACAAGGGACTTAGTCCCACCCCACTAGCAATAAAAAAAAACATAGCTCATTACCTATCTGTTGCATTAACTAAATAATCCGCTAACTGGCCAACTTACTCCACGAAACAGAAGACTTCTTCAGAAGCGAACAATTGCTCACCTGGGAAAAAAATGCTTTTCACTTTTTATGGAATCCGAAGTTTCATTGCAGCTTTCACGAGAGCCCCTACTAGATTCTGTCCTGAGTCAGACGATTTCAGTCCACATCTTACTTAAAATCTACATTAATTATATCCTACGTACGACTCGATTTCCTAATATACTGTGCGAATTTCTTATCTCCTACGCGTGCTTCATGCCCATAAAATTTCATTTTCTTAGTTTAATCATTTTAATAATATCTGGCGAACGATATGCATATCTTAGAACCCGTAAATCAAAATGAAGTCTGAATCATATGACGTAATTCCCAGTTCACTTGTGGAAGGTTCCGACAGAGCCATCTGTTGACTCGGTTTGTTATGTCAACGCAACGTCAGGGCCGTGAGGCTCTCTCATACATCACTTCGTGACGTTCTCGTAGCAGATCCGGGAACTGGCAAACGGTCAAGTCCTCATAGCAGTCACAGCGCACCCCGCTTTCAATTAGCTCAACCCAGTTCTTTCTTTTATTACTTTTATATCAATTTCTGATAATATACAGACGTGATTTCCGTTCACAAGGGATGACTTTTCGTTTTCCATTACGTCAGCACTCATTTCTGACACCATCAACACTCCAAATATTCAGCCCTTTGTCTCTGTATCTCCATATTTGTATTTTGTCTACAACTTCTCTGGAGATACATCAGACGTTCTGCAGGTGACCTTAAAGGCACGAAAGGTAAAGTTGTCCCTGTGCTTAATTAATTAAGCATCACGCAATTAAGACGTCTTGGATATAGCTCCAACATTCTTGACCACGGTTCTAGATGGAGCTGAGTGGTCAGCTTCACGTCCGTGGAGGTTTATCCCTGGTATCTTTTGGACAAAAAGCTGGATGGGACCTAGAGCCAGTCTTGACGCTGTGAAGTACAGAAATATTTCTATTCACTATTAGCAATCGAACCCCGGTCATCCAGCCCATAGCTCGTCACTATACCGACCGAGCTATAATTAATAAATATAATTTTAAATAGTATCTTTACGTAATCCTTGTACTTTTCTCTTTTCCACAGCGTCCAGACGTGTTCTGGGCTTCACCTAGCCTTCTATCTAATATGTACAGGGGTAAAGCGGCAGGGACGTGAAGCTGACCATTCATCTCCATCTAGTGTGGGGGGGAAAGAATTGTGGAGCTATACATCCACTCCTCCATAGGTCTTCATATTACAGTATTTAAGTAATTAAGCACAGGGACATTTTTTTACATATTCTTTGCATAGAAACATCCATCATCGGAAGAATGTTCCATGTCCTGGAATGTTACTGGTTTGCAGCTACAGTTGGGAAAGGTGAACAGGAATATTAATATCTGCTGTGTGGAAACATTTTGAGTGCGCACGTGCATATCTTGAATGGCGTGGAATAAGAAATGTGACTTCGGAAATCTTGAGAAGGAAATTGTTTCAAAAATTTCCGAGACTGTTTCAATTTCCTAAGTACATTACCAGGACTTCGCTACGAAGATAGAAGAGGACGGTTTACTTGCAGCGCGCTGCAGAATCGGGTTTATGGTTTCAACATGAATGGGAGCAAGTCCTATATTCCCAAAGAAATCTCCGTTATGACTCTTTAGGTTTCCACCATATGTTGTAAACAGAATGTAGTATTTTTCAAATGATAATGTAATTATTTACGTCACTATCTACTGATGACGTACCTTCGCATATGATTTAGACATAGAACGGTCTACGAAGCTATCGTATAGCAAAATGCTGCATACCAAATTTTCGCTTGTTATTCTACGCGGGTATGGAATTTGATCTCCTACCCTGAGGAAGGAACACAGATAGAGGTCATAATGTCTGAGGTTTCCACGGCGGTGAAGATTCAT